ATTTCAGATCGACTCATACAAAATTATCAGATAGACAGACACACCCCCCCCCCTCCCCCCATACATACGACATGAGTGACGTGTATACCACCTGGTAAACACTGGGCCAGGAGGTAAACAGTATACATCTGTGTCACCCGATGTCTTCACCCTTATCACCCCCATCCCTCTTTTTACACCTGTGAGAACCTGAGTGGGTATATGTGTGTGTGTGTTGGCGAGGTGAAGCGAGGAGGCAGTGACCCAATCCGGCCTTGAGAATGATGAGGCAAGAAGTGGACGTTGGAACAGGCTTTCTGAGCCCCCCCCCCACACACACACACAAAATCTAAGTGTAGTGTTTATAGATGTTCGTGACTCTCCCCCTCACCCCACTCCACCTCTCACCTTTCCCTATTCCTTTCCCTCAGCTCTCCCCTTCTTTTCCCTCACCCTTCCCTCCGCCCCCTCCCACCCTTCTACCGGATAGTGTTCAGAGGACCATAACTCTTGGTAAAATATGATAGGTATTCTGTATAACTTCTTCCTGTTGTATACGTGGTTAAAATCTTATCTCATTTGTTAAACTCACTCTATGATCCAAGACATATCACGGAGAGTAGGACGGATAGTAGAGAGAAAAGAAGAAATGATGGTAGGAAGGAAGAAAGAAAGACGGATAAAAAGAAAGACAAAAAAGAAAGAAAAAGAAAGAAAGAAAAAGAAAGAAAGAAAGAAAGAAAGGTATCCCTCTGGTCCACCTCCCACGCCATACCACAGACTCTCCCCTTGTACTCTGGCACGACAATATCAACCGAATTCCAGGTCAATAAAGGCGAGGGGCCACCAGTGCTAACCTAACCTCACCTAACGTATCCAAACCTAACCTAACCTAAGTGTACCTCCCCCTCTTCCCTCCTCCTGGACACACATGTGAAGTCATGAAGTCAGGGAAGTCTGTACCCCCTCCCCCCCCTTCTTAACGCCCCGAGTGCCACGAGATAAGTGAACCCCTTTAAGTCTTGCCCCCCTCCCCCCCCGATACAACGATACAAGTGAACTTCCTTAACACAACTAAAGACTTGACACACAGACCAAAATACGACGAGGAGGAGAGGAGGCCGAAGGACGACCATACAAAATCTGAATAATAAAACTTGAACATAATTACGGAAGGGTCTGGACGTGGATATGGGGGGGAGGGGGTGGATATGGGGGAGGGGGTGGATATGGGGGGAGGGGGGGTTAGAATGGCGTGGTTGTTGGTTTCGCGTGACTTGCATACACGAAATTAGGACAAGCTTGGAGGAGGAGGAAAGGTGGGGAGGGAGTGGGTAGGGAAGGGCGTAAAGGAAGGAGGGAAAGAAAGGAAGAAAGGAGGAGGGATAGGGAGGGAGGGATAGGGGGGTAAGGAGGGGGGGACGGAGGAAGGGTAGGGGGAGGAGAGGAAGGGAAGGAGGAATTGTAGGGAGAGAGGGAGGGAGGGAGGAGTAAGGAGAGAGGAGCGGAGGTGCTATTAATGAGGTAAAAGATAAGAACCAGAGAATAGCACATGACTGGGAGGAAGAGAGAGAGAGAGAGGGACTTGATGCAGAGGAAGGTAGAGGAGGGGTAAGAGGAAGAGAACCAAGAAGGAGAGAGAGGAGACACAAAAGAGAACGAGAAAGACAGAGAGAACGAAAAAAGAGATGTGGAAGCTAGACAAAAAAAAAAAAAAGGCGAAAACAGACAAGAGGAAAGTCATAATAAGAATCAGGTCATTGCAAAGTTAAATGTCTCAAAAAATTTAAAGAAAATACAAGACAAGAAGCATCGTGTCGTTATAGTGACAAGATAAAACAATAAACGACATGACAAAGACGGGATAAAATGAGGTCAGGTGGATGTGGCCTCGCATCTGGAACTATAGAGGGCACCACAAAACGAGCCTTAGACGGCGCTGGTGTGTGTGTGTGTGTGTGTGTGATTATCCAGGTATCGACGACTTGGGGATCAATGTGGCCGTAGCAAATCTTGTTATTTGTCAAATTGGCAAATACGTGTCGTGAAGCGTCCGTCGGCCAGCCATCATTTGGAGGACATTCAGGTAGTATACTAACCTGTTCAATGCATTTAAATAGTATACGTAACACAACATCCACACCTACAGTTTTAACACCACACCCACACCTACAATTTTAACACCACACTCATCCTACAGTCTTAACATCACACCCACCTTACAGTCTTAACACCACATCCACACCTACAGTTTTAACACCACACCCACACCTACAGTTTTAACACCACACCCACACCTACAGTCTTAACACCACACCCACCTTACAGTTTTAACACCACACCCACACCTACAGTCTTAACACCACACCCACACCTACAATTTTAACACCACACCCACCTTACAGTCTTAACACCACACTCACCCTACAGTCTTAACACCACACTAACCCTACAATCTTAACACCCCATTAACCCTACAGTCTTAACATCACACCCACAGTCTCAAAACCACGCCCACAGTCTCAACACCACACCCACACCTACAGTCTAATTAATCCAGAAAAAAAAACCACATTATAATCCCTCTCAGCTCTATACTGTTCAGATACTGGGTCCTGCACGGGTCACACAGGATCACAGGACCCGGCACTAACACCCCTGAACCCATCTGCTGTGTTGGTCAATGAGTTCCCGGGTTATTTGGGTGACGTACTCGCCCTCCTGTCCGTGACGTATCTCTCATTTTAATAATTCTTAACACTTCAAGAGGTTGATGGATTCTCTTGAAATCTGGCAAGAACATAGGTCACCACCCTTTCCTCCAGGCCACGAACTAGGACCTGGTTAGCCCCCCTTACCTCCTCTTCCCCTGGCCACGAACTAGGACCTGGTTAGCCCCCCTTACCTCCTCTTCCCCTGGCTACGAACTAGGACCTGGTTAGCCCCCCTTACCTCCTCTTCCCCTGGCCACGAACTAGGACCTGGTTAGCCCCCCTTACCTCCTCTTCCCCTGGCCACGAACTAGGACCTGGTTAGCCCCCCTTACCTCCTCTTCCCTGGCTACGAACTAGGACCTGGTTAGCCCCCATTACCTCCTCTTCCCCTTCCCTGGCTACGAACTAGGACCTGGTTAGCCCCCCCTCCCTCTTCCCTGGCACGAACTAGGACCTGGTTAGCCCCTTACCTCCCTCTTCCCCTGGCTGAACCAGGACCTGGTTAGCCCCCCTTCCCTCCTCTTCACCTGGCCACGAACCAGGACCTGGTTAGCCCCACCTCTTCACCAGGCCACGAACCAGGACCTGGTTAGCCCCACCTCTTCACCTGGCCACGAACTAGGACCTGGTTAAACGTGGCGATTTGGCGGCTATATTCTTGGCATGAAATCTCCCAAAGCATCGCCAGAACCTGTTGTGGAAGGTTAACAACTTGGCTCTAAAGTTCAACTCATGAAGACGTCCGAGGAAATATCGCGTATTCGACCAGAGGCAAACGTATACATTAGGCGTCTGGTTATTATCATTATCAAAATTATTATTATTATTATCGCCATTATTATTATTATTATAAGTTTTAATCTGGGTACAATTTATCACATTAGAAACGTCTCGCTTCTCAAGCCCCAGTAGATATTTGCCGAGTTAAGGAGTGGATAGGGACACTGCACACGACAAACTGAAGACGACGCAGCGAGCGAGGAGGACGACACAGTGGACGAGGAGGACGACACAGTGGACGAGGACGACGACACAGTGTACGACAACGACGACACAGTGGACGAGGACGACGACACAGTGTACGACAACGACGACACAGGGATGGGGAGGGGCTGGTCTGGTCGGTAGCATCGAGATCCGAGTTAAAGAGAAAACACCAAACTGCATCCACCTACACTGTCACCGGTAATTCCCCGCCGACACCACCACCAACAGTACACTACCACAATCACCATCACTACCAGTACACTACCACAATCACCATCACTATTACTGCATCACAACCACTACTACCTTACCATAACCAACACTACCCTAAAAGCTACGACCTCTACCATCCATCACATCCACCAATGCTACCACCCCCAAATATCACCCACATTACATCAACCACCACGACCACCACACTACCACTTCCATACCTTCAATGCACCATCACCCCACCACAACCATCCTACCATACACCCCCATCACAACCAAATCAATCCTACCACAACCACTACTTCCACCACTACCACCATCGCAACTAACATTGACACCATTAGACACTGCCTGTAACTATGGCTTCATCACCGCTACCTAGACTTTAATGGCTACTACAAGTACCACCATCACTACCAACACCACTATTATCACCACCACCACTACCAACCTCATTAACACCACTACTACCACCAACTATCACTAATACCACCATTACCAACCACCTTCATTAACAGCACCACTACTACCACCACCACCACCACCACTAACACCTCTACTACCAACATCACAAACACCACTTCTACCACTACCACCATTACTACTACCATCACTAACACCACTACTACCACCAACACCAACTACCAACATCACAAACACCACTTCTACCACTACCACCATTACTACTACCATCACTAACACCACTACTACCACCAACACCATCGCCCTAGTGCCAACCCCTCGCCCCTAGCACCGTCCTTGAGTATTGATTGAGTGGGGGGGGAGGGGGTGGGGTGGGGGGGTGGGGGTGGGGGGTGGATATTTTTACGTGCGTGGCCCAGCAGTAGACGCACGACAACACTAGGCCATGGCACCACACCCTCACTCATTCCTATTCCCATGAGGTAAATAAATTGTTTCTCTTCACCAATTATCATATTATTCATCTCATATAATTATACACCTCCCCCCCCCGCTCCCCAAATTAACAGGTACATATTACAAGTTACAAATTACAAGTACACATACAGGTTAAATGTTAGTTACTTAGATCTCAACATAAATTCAATACTTAAGAGAGATGGACAGACACGAACATAAAGTCCCATGGCGACGCTCCAGTTTCGAAATTTGTACCCAAGTCAAACGAGACACTACGGCGCCATCTATGGGACGGGGGACGAGCAGTTCGAGGGTCTAGTTCCAACAGGTCGGGGAGCTCAGGTGCGTAAAGGGGACATTAATTTTGTACGTGACTGGATATTATTATTTCACATTATCCTACACACACACACAGAAAAATAGACACGTACAGTACTTAATTCACCACGGACTCTTAAAAAAAAAATCCCCACGTTCTCCCCCCCCCCTCACCCCGTAATCCTGGGCTCCCCTAGTCGACCACTCGGCACAAGGGTCACTAAAAGTACCAAAGGGTGTTATTATGTGCAACTTATGGCAATTCTTATGCAGAGAATTATACGAAAATAAGCCCCTGTCTTGGAACTCGTGGAGGGAGGAAATGTCACGTACCAGGTTTTTCAGGGGAATATTGCAGACACGGTCGTCACCACTTAAAATTTTAATGATATAATCCGGTATTATAAAAACCTCTGGCAAATATTACTGATAAGATTTAATTAATTTTTCTCTTAATCTTTTGTAACTGTTTAAGGTTTGCAGGGGAATTATTAGAGACGTGATCTTAATAATTCAAATTCCCCCAACACGCACGCACGCACACGCACGCACGCACGCACGCACGCACGCACACACGCACACACACACACACACACACACACACACACACAGAAAATGTTACTTCCTTATAAGACTCAATAACATTTTTTTTATCACAAATACCAAGAAAAAACTTACTTACAAAGATAAAATAATTACAATTCTAACGTTATACCTATAAAGTTACTTATAAATCTTGATAAACAATTGTTATCACGACATATATTACTGTACAAGGTCTAATAATCCAACTTACCTTAAAATGCTCCAAAATTTTTACTTGTATGGTTAATAAATAAATTTCTATCATACAAAAAAAAATCGATAACTTTTTTTGTGAGGTTTTCAAGGCGGTGCATTATAGGGTTGTCCTTTATACAGAAGAGGTGGGGGTAGGGAGGGTGGGGGGAGTGGGGGGGGTGGGGGAGGGTAGAAAAGGGAGTAGTGGAGGGCGGGTGGTCGAGGTGATCGTAAAGGGGAAGGTTGGGGAGGAGAGGGGTTGGAACCAGGCGTTGGTGGTGCAGGGGTGATGCAGGCGGATGGTGGAAGTGCAGGTGCGTGAGAGTAGTGGTGGAGACGGTTGTTGGTGGTGGTGCAAGATGGACGCGCGTGTTGGAGATGCAGGTGGGTGAGGGGGTGGTGGTGGTGTTGGAGGCGTGTGCTGGAGGTGTACATGAGTGGATGAGGGTGGGGAGGGGAGAGGTGCAGCAGATGGTGGTGGGGGAGGGAGAGGGAAAGGCCACACAATGGTCCAAGGTTCTACTGTAGAGCTTTTCCATGTTGCCCCCAGACTACTGGTGCACTCTCTCTCTCTCTCTCTCTCTCTCTCTCTCTCCTATTCTATGCAGTCACTGTACTCTCCTAAGCCTTGTGAATCACTCCTCGTCACTATCACCTCACCATCACCTCTCCAACACCAGGATATTTACCATCACCTCTCCAACACCAGGATATTCACCATCACCTCTCCAACACCAGGATATTCACCATCACCGGGAAACACGTCGTCATCATCACCACACCAACCCCAGGATATTCACCATCACCTCTCCAACACCAGGATATTCACCATCACCATCACCTCTCCAACACCAGGATATTCACCATCACCTCTCCAACACCAGGATATTCACCATCACCGGGAAACTCGTCGTCATCATCACCACACCAACACCAGGATATTCACCATCACCTCTCCAACACCAGGATATTCACCATCACCATCACCTCTCCAACACCAGGATATTCACTATCACCTCCAACACCAGGATATTCACCATCACCTCTCCAACACCAGGATATTCACCATCACCATCACCTCTCCAACACCAGGATATTCACTATCACCTCTCCAACACCAGGATATTCACTATCACCTCTCCAACACCAGGATATTCACCATCACCTCTCCAACACCAGGATATTCACCATCACCTCTCCAACACCAGGAAACTCGTCGTCATCATCACCACACCAACACCAGGATATTCACCATCACCTCTCCAACTCACTATCGCCTCACGCTTCCTTCACTTGCCTGCACGTTCACGAATTATCACCAGATAATAATCTCATTAAAAAAAAATTCTCGCTTGGCCAATCACCAATATTAATATTTTCTTCACCATGTCGATAACCAATCACAATATACAAAACCATTTCACCATCTTATCATTTAACACTTTCTGGGCTTTCAGTCACCATTTTTAGCGAGTCAGTCACCAGTCAAAATCTTATTAAATATTCCGGTTGGCGAATCACTATTTAAGCTCTTTCGATTCGCCATTCACTTCTCAGAATGTGCGACACTTCTCACGATATTATTAAAGTTCTTTCATTCACTAACCAATCATCAATCACTACAATAAAACACATTCTCAAAACACTATCTTATTAAATATTCAAACTGGCCAATCAATCACCACCCACTGCAATCACACACTTATAAAATCACCTACTTCTCGCCAATCACCCCACGAGACACTTACTTGCCAGTTTATTAGGCTAATCTCTGACGGTGGCCGACTCGATACTACACCTGATAACGTACAGTAATTCCTATGAGATTCCCAACAGTAATTCCTATGAGATTCCCAACAGTAATTGCTATGAGATTTCCAACAGTAATTCCAATGAGATTCCCAACAGTAATTCCAATGAGATTCCCAACAGTAATTCCTTTGAGATTCCCAACAGTAATTGCTATGAGATTCCCAACAGTAATTGCTATGAGATTCCCATCAGTAATTGCTATGAGATTCCCAACAGTAATTCCTATGAGATGCCCAACAGTAATTTTAATGAGATTCCCAACAGTAATTCCTATGAGATTCCCAACAGTAATTCCTATGAGATTCCCAACAGTAATTGCTATGAGATTCCCAACAGTAATTGCTATGAGATTCCCAACAGTAATTTCAATGAGATTCCCAACAGTAATTCCTATGAGATTCCCAACAGTAATTGCTATGAGATTCCCAACAGTAATTCCAATGAGATTCCCAACAGTAATTCCAATGAGATTCACAACAGTAATTCCTATGAGATTCCCAACAGTAATTCCAATGAGATTCCCAACAGTAATTCCAATGAGATTCCCAACAGTAATTCCAATGAAATTCCCAACAGTAATTCCAATGGGATTCACAACAGTAATTCCAATGAGATTCACAACAGTAATTCCTATGAGATTCCCAACAGTAATTGCTATGAGATTCCCAACAGTAATTCCAATGAGATTCCCAACAGTAATTCCTATGAGACTCCCAACAGTAATTCCAATGAGATTCACAACAGTAATTCCAATAAGATTCACAACAGTAATTCCTATGAGATTCCCAACAGTAATTCCAATGAGATTCCCAACAGAAATTCCAATGAGATTCCCAACAGTAATTGCTATGAGATTCCCAACAGTAATTCCAATGAGATTCCCAACAGTAATTCCAATGAGATTCCCAACAGTAATTCCAATGAGATTCACAACAGTAATTCCAATGAGATTCCCAACAGTAATTCCAATGAGATTCCCAACAGTAATTCCAATGAGATTCCCAACAGTAATTGCTATGAGATTCCCAACAGTAATTCTAATGAGATTCCCAACAGTAATTCCAATGAGATTCCCAACAGTAATTCCAATAAGATTCACAACAGTAATTCCTATGAGATTCCCAACAGTAATTGCTATGAGATTCCCAACAGTAATTCCAATGAGATTCCCAACAGTAATTCCAATGAGATTCCCAACAGTAATTCCAATGAGATTCACAACAGTAATTCCTATGAGATTCCCAACAGTAATTCCAATGAGATTCCCAACAGTAATTCCAATGAGATTCCCAACAGTAATTGCTATGAGATTCCCAACAGTAATTCCAATGAGATTCCCAACAGTAATTCCAATGAGATTCCCAACAGTAATTCCAATGAGATTCACAACAGTAATTCCTATGAGATTCCCAACAGTAATTGCTATGAGATTCCCAACAGTAATTCCAATGAGATTCCCAACAGTAATTCCAATGAGATTCCCAACAGTAATTGCTATGAGATTCCCAACAGTAATTCCAATGAGATTCCCAACAGTAATTCCAATGAGATTCCCAACAGTAATTCCAATGAGATTCCCAACAGTAATTGCTATGAGATTCCCAACAGTAATTCCAATGAGATTCCCAACAGTAATTCCAATGAGATTCCCAACAGTAATTCCAATGAGATTCACAACAGTAATTCCTATGAGATTCCCAACAGTAATTCCTATGAGATTCCCAACAGTAATTTCAATGAGATTCCCAACAGTAATTCCTATGAGATTCCCAACAGTAATTCCAATGAGATTCCCAACAGTAATTGCTATGAGATTCCCAACAGTAATTCCAATGAGATTCCCAACAGTAATTCCTATGAGATTCCCAACAGTAATTCCAATGAGATTCCCAACAGTAATTCCTATGAGATTCCCAACAGTAATTCCCATGTGATTCCCAGTAGTAATTATCCGTAACTACCATCCCAGTCACACCAGATAATCGATTAAATGCCATATAATTACTAAGACTTGACTGGGTATTTGGACTTGGAAATTAGTGGGTGGGAGGGTGAGCGAGTGGGCGGGTGAGAGTGGATGGGTGTATGAGTGGGCGGATGTGAGTAGGCAGGTGTGTAAATAGTCACACACACACACACACACACACACACACACACACAGATCAAGACCTCCCCCACCAATCCACACACCACGCGATATATCAAGAAATCTATTTGGCGTGGAGTGTTTGACACGCCTTAGGGTCCACCCCCCCCCTCTCAAGGTAGATCATCATCGATAGTGTCAATACCTAGAGGGCGCTCTCTATGGGTCCTGTGTCAACACCAGTCGCCCCCCTTGAGAGAGAAAAGGTAAACAAGACGGGGTTTATTTCAGTATCTTTTACTTGACATTGATGGTGGCAAGTGGAGCGGTTTATTTACACCAGATAATGGGGAGAATTAAGTTAATGGCCATAACGAGAGAGAAAAACCTTAGTAGTAGTTATTATTATTATTATTATTATTATTATTATTATTATTATTATTATTATTATTATTATTATTATTGCAATTGTTGTTATCATTACTGTTATTAATATCCTCAATACTGTTATCTTAAAAGAACAGTAAACACACTACTAAATAAACAAAAATATGTATTGGCCCGTCTCATGGCAATAACAATTATATAAATTTGGGTTAATATATTTAAATTATATAATCCAATCACCTCATGGTAATTTTCCATTAAGCTGTGAGTTGCCAGGTGCTGTTCACGTGAGGGGAAATTCCTCTATCAGTAGGCCGACCTTGAGAATGTAGGGTCAGTCCAGCCTCTCCTTCAGAGCCTCCCCTCACGAGCGCCAGTCTTCACTTGAGCCTCACAAGAATCGGACGGGTGACTTAACTGAGTCAAGCTGAGCCCCGTCCTTAACTAACACTCACAGCTTACAGTGTTAATTATGGTGCATCTACTAATAGACCCCTCAACTTATTTATATATAAGCTTAGTTAAAAGGGAACTCTACCCAAAGCTTATATAAATAAAAGGGAAATCAAAACGAGAAAAAAAAAATAGGTGCATAACGAAAACCTCGATAATAATGATAATAATAATAATAATAATAATAATAATAATAATAATAATAATAAATGGGTAAAGGAACATATGGGGAAAAAACTGGAGTAGAGACGAAAGAAAACGCGATGAAAAGTCCTAAGTCGAGAGAAAACGACACGGAGAGGTCAGGGTTAACCTTGTGCATCTCCCAAGTTGAAAGTTGAGATAGAATATTGGTGAGAGGGTTGAGTGGGAAGGCTTGTGAGAGGGTTGAGTGGGAAGGTTGGTGAGAGGGTTGAGTGGGAAGGTTGGTGAGAGGGTTTGAAGTGAGGGTTGAGAAGGTTGGTGAGAGGGTTGAGTGGGAAGGTTGGTGAGAGGGTTGAGTGGAAAGGTTGGTGAGAGGGTTGGAGTGGGAAGGTTGGTGAGAGGGGTTGAGTGGGAAGGTTGGTGAGAGGGTTGAGTGGGAAGGTTGGTGAGAGTGGAAGGTTGGTGAGAGGTTGAGTGGGAAGGTTGGTGAGAGGGTTGAGTGGGAAGGTTGGTGAGAGGGTTGAGTGGGAAGGTTGGTGAGAGGGGTTGAGTGGGAAGGTTGGTGAGAGGGTTGGTGAGAGGGTTGGGAAGGTTGGTGAGAGGGTTGAGTGGGAAGGTTGGTGAGAGGGTTGAGTGGAAGGTTGGTGAGAGGGTTGAGTGGGAAGGTTGTGAGAGGGTTGAGTGGGAAGTTTGGTGAGAAAGTTGAAGGAGGCGAAGGTTGAAAAGGGCGGGGCGAGAAGAAGGGAGAGGGTTGAAGGGGTTGGTGAGTGTTGGGAGAGGATTAAAGGGGTGAGAGGGTTGACGGAGTAGAGTTGAAGAGAGAGAGAGAGAGAGAGTCCCTGTTGGAAGGATGAAGTGAAAAGAAGAGAAGAGGAGATTTATACCTACCTGCTCAGAGACAAGTACTTCCTCCTCCCTGGTGAAGGACGAGGAAGGTGGTAAAAGGTACTGCAGGGAGGGCGGGCGGGCGGGCGGGCGGGCGGGCGGGCGCCAGGTCGATCAGTGAGAGGAGAAAGAGGAGAGAAGGAGGAACTAGGAGGGTTCACGGGCGGGCTGAGGACGTGCTAGCGGGCAGGAGAGCGGGTTGCGGCGGGCTTTGCAGGCAGGCAGGCAGGCAGGCGGGCGGGCGGGCAGGCTAGCTACCAGGCAAGCAAGCGAGCGGGCGGGCGGGCGGGCAGGAGTGAGGGAGGGCAGGCGGCAGACAAAGGAGAGACGGAACGAGAAGAGAGCAATAGCAAGGGACAGAAAGAGCAGGGGATGGCGAGGACGAAAGAGGGAACACCGCACCTCTATGACGGACCCCACCACCACAGTGACGCTGGCCACACACCTCCCCCACCTACCACACACACCTACCACCCACACACCCCCCCACCTACCACCCCACACACACACCCTCCCCACCTACCTCTTACACACACACACACCTCACCACCTCCACCTCCACACACACACCCTCCCCACACCACCTCCCACACACACACCTCCCCCACCCCCACACACACACTCCCCACCTACCACACACACACACACACACACACACACACACACACACACACACACACACACACACACACACACACACACACACACCCACACACACCCACCCTCCCCACCCCACCACACACACACACCACACACACCTCCCCACCACACTCCCCACCACACACACACACACCCTCCCCACCTACCACTTCCACACACACTCCCCACACCCTCCTCCCCACCTACACACCTACCACACACACACACCCTCCCCACCCACACACACACCCTCCCACCACCCACCCACACACACCACACACACTCTCCCCCATCTACCAATTGCACCACCCACACAACTGACATACGCAGCAAACTTCACCAACATCCAACCAACAAACCTCACCAACATCCACCCAACAAACTTCACCAACATCCACCCAACAACCCTCACCAACATACCACCACATCCACCACAACAAACCTTCCACCCAACAAACCTCACCAACATCCAAACAAACCTCACCAACATCCACCCAACAAACCTCTCACCAACATCCACCCAACAAACTTCACCAACATCCACCCAACATCACCAACATACCAACATCTCACCAACATCACAACAAACCTCACCAACATCCAAACAAACCTCACCAACATCCACCCAACAAACCTCATCAACATCCACCCAACAAACCTCACCAACATCCACCCAACAAACTCACCAACAAACCTCCACCCCAAACATCAACATCCACCCAACAAACCTCACCAACATCCACCCAACAAACCTCACCAACATCCACCCAACAAACCTCACCAACATCCACCCAACAAACCTCACCAACATCCACCCAACAAACCTCACCAACATCCACCCAACAAACTTCACCAACAAACCTCACCAACATCCACCCAACAAACCTCACCAACATCCACCCAACAAACCTCACCAACATCCACCCAACAAACCTCACCAACATCCACCCAACAAACCTCACCAACTGAATACTCAAAAATTTCCTAAATTCTCTACAAATTACCAGTAAGTTCACTTTTATTACTTATATATGACAAAAAAAACAAACAAATATAAAACAAGAAAAACATTCAATTTTCTTCTTTATAAACACACCAAATCGACCTACTACATAAAACAAACAAACAAGAAAATCATTTGTCATAACCTAAAAAAACAACTACAACAATTAACTCGCCGTCAAGACAACCCCGAGTTATTCTACAACCAAAACCAATAATCACAACCTAATGACCAAGAGTTATTACACATACACATCTAAATATGTCGAAATAAAATCACTATAATTCACCTCTCCGAGACCTATTATAGAGAGTTAAAACGTATCGACAACCCCAAGATGTCCTTATCAAACTCTATTGAAACCTTTATATAAGTAGTCCAATCACCTTTTATAAGTAACCTAATCTTAAATTAAATAATCTAAATTAAAAATCCAGAAAAAGAAGCCTTAATAAAATTACTTATTAAACTATATTAAAACCCTTCAATAAATAACACAAATATTTACTTATAATGCTCTTTAAAAAGTAACAGAATACTTCCTTACTTAACTACAGGAAAATTATAATTATAATAATAATTGCAATAATGATGTAAATTAATTCAAACCTTAATTTATAACCTAAAAGAACATCACCTCACTTAAAAATGAACTAAAGGAACACCACTCTAGTTGTTCTTGGGTACACTAACAAAAGTAACGCTAATAATTAATGAGAGAAATGGATGAGCAGAATGTACTCCAAGCAACCACAGCACATGAGGTACTTAATCCCTTGAGTACGAGGACTTAAAACATTGAGTACGACGTCTTAACTCTTTGAGTACGATGGCATGCCCTTACTCGGTAATCTTATTAAACGAGTTATCGTACTCAAGGGATATAGTCATCATACTCAGGGGGTTTAATCAACATACTCAAGGGCTCAGCTAAAATCTGAGGTACAATATCTACTACTCTTAGAGGCCACAACTGACGTGTCACTCACCTGGATCACCCAATTACGTGAGACCACCTGAGAATAATTACCGTTCGAGAGAGAGAGAGAGAGAGAGAGAGAGAGAGAGAGAGACTCCATTTATGTAACCACCCACTCCCTATACATCAGGTGAGAGACATAGACAAACCAAAAACATTATCACTGAACCTGTCACGGTCGCCACGTTTACCTCAACATATAAACATTAGCCGTCGTGTTTTGGGCCGCATTCACCAGAAATTATACCCACTAACCGATAATTTTCGCCGTGTTTTAGATAATATAAGCCTTAACCTATACTTTTTTACTACGTTCGGTGTATAATATAACGTTCAGTAGATCAATATCGAGGCATTAGTTGATACTTTATCCCGTGGTTA